GAGCTTTTTTTCACTTGCCTTTCCCCAGGAAAACCTCCTTAAGCAAGTCCTCTTGACAGCCTAGTCCATTCTTGATCTTGTCATAGTCTAATCTAAACTGTCTGACGCATTCATTCTGACCCTTACAGAAATGGCCAGGGCAAAAGGTGAGCCAGACTCATTGAAAGGGCTGTGTAAACGTGTGCCACCCATTCCCCATTAGAACAGAAGCTTCCTGAATCTTAGCAGTGCTTCTAAGCCATAAGCGCCTTGCTGTACTCTGTGTGTTGGGATATATGTGCCTCTGGAAACTCTATTGAATCAATGGTTGCCATAAAATGAAGCCTAGAAACTAGGCCTCATAGTATGGTGGTTATACTTGCTAAGAAAACGTCTCATTCTTAATCCCTTTTTGGTATTCTCAAGAACAAACCTGGAATCAGTTCTTGCGATTGTCAATTCTAAGCTACCTGCCCTCGGGCAGGATAAAGTGAGGTGGCTGATTACAATGCCAAGTTTGTGTAGGTCATTAGAAAACAAAATAAAATAATATGAAGTATTAAGGTCAAGGTTTAAAATCTATTAGAATTCTGTACATTCAAGGTTTTAAAAGTTGTTAGAATTCTGTACATTTGGGCAATTATCCAAAGGTCTTTATATTTCCACCTCCTAAAGCAGATTATTTTTATACATGAACTTGTACAAACACCCACCTGTGTACAAGTATAATCCAATCTAAAGATACTAAATTGATTCACTTGAGTTGGGCATAGCAGCACATACCTAGATGAACCTGGAAGATTGATTAAGCCCAACAGCTTAAGGCCTGTTTGTGTAATATAATAATATCCTGTCTCAAAAACAAAACAAAACCATGATTTTCTTAACTGCATTTAGTGCCAGGACTATGTATTGATGAAAGCTGAACTCACTGTGTAGTAAGAACAATGAGGAACAAATGGTTTCTGTGTCAGGTCATGAGCACCTCAGCCAGTCAACAGTCCAAGGAGTACAAGCTAGACTCCTGCAGTGCTGCCCCATTTAGGCATAGAAAGAGCACCAGAGAAAGCTTTGCTGTGCTCAATACCAGGAACAATTCACCCAGGATTGCCAGTTCTTATAAAACAAGAACAAACAAAAGTAATACAAAAACCTACTGTGTTACTTTTCTGTTGCTATGACAGAATATAATGATCAAGACAACTTACAAAAGGGACCATTTATTTGGTTTACAGTGTCAGGGGAAAGTCCACCATGATGGAAAGGTAGGGCAACAATAGGTAGGTAGGCATGGCAACAAGAGACAGGCATGGCAGCCAAAACTTGAAGCCAAAGAATCATATCTTTAACCAGAGAGAGAGTGTGAAGCAGAGAGAGTGACTCAGAAGCCCTCAAAGTCTGTCCCCAGTGACATACTTCCTCCAGCATGGCTGTACCTCTTATAACCTTCCCAACAGTACCACCATCTAGGGACCAAGTGTTCAACTATCTGAGCTCACGGAGGACATTTTCCCCTTTAAACCACCATACTAACCTAACAAATTTTCTCCATTCTCATAACTGACTTTCTTTACAAAGAAACTGCAGATTACATGCCCATGCCATGCTGCAGGGTACAGTGTGTGTGTGTGTGTGTGTGTTAAATGACAAATACGCAGAATTAAAATAACTAGCAATTGTGAGACCTATTTTAATGTCCTTAATTGAAAGTTTCAGTGTTGAATGAGAAGCAATTTTAAGAGTCAATCAATTTCATAAAGAAACCATACACACAAATGCACAATTCATCATGTCCAAGAATACTTTTTTTCTAGTATAAATAATAGCTTTGTTCATAAAAAATGGAGGGTCAAGGCCCAACTTGAAACTCTGCAGGCTGAACAGGAATTGGAAACTACATAGATGAAAAAACAAAAACAAAAGCAAGACTCCAAAATCAATGGTCTTAAAGTGTGGCCCACTTATTCAGGGCTGAGGTGATGGCAGACAAGCCTAAACAAGTCCATTGTTTTGGTCTTTCCAGAAAACATTAAGGAGACTTTTCCTGAAATCTGAGAAGCCAGTAGAAGGAGATCAGAGGGTTAGGGGTAAACAGGAGGCCCCGACCAGGAGATAAGTCACAGGCACCAAGACATCTGCTGGCTCTGATTAAGGGACATCAAGGGTGAAAATGATTCCTTGCTGGAAAAAAAAAAATTATCCTGCCCTGCAAATAGCCACAGAGCTATAGGAGCCCCAGATACGAACCTGGGCCTCTTTCTGAAAGGTATTGGATGTCTGGTTAGTGTGGATTTATAAAGACCACTGAACAGTAGGGAAAATGCATTGAAGCATGTTCAGAATAAATTAACCAAGAGGGAAATAAACAAAAAAAGCCAGAATTTCTATACTAATTATCAAAGTTAAAGAATTCATTACTCCTAAAATGGTAGGTTAATATATCAATGAATTCCAAAATATTTAGGTCAGTTCAGAGGTATCATATCCAAATGAAGACTAGGTTTTAGAGGGTAAAGGGTTGCAGGCCCTCAGTTGAGAGTGACTAGTAGAGGCATAATTAATTATTCCCATATAGTTCTTCTCATCTCCAGTTCAGGTCCCTTTTACAAATTATATATCCGAGTGGCACCTCTTTCTTCCATTAAACCTTACTAGTTTTAGCTTGGGTCTTGGACTTTAAGTCCCACATATAATCAAGGGCTGCAATGATAGCCACTGTGCTTCTGCCTGTGATGCATCTACACTGTCGGAGTCTTGCTTTCCTTTCTTCTTTGCTCAGAGGTAAAGTATAATACATTCTGCAGAACTAGGAAACAGATAGCATTTGCCCGGGGCAAGTGAGAAGGTGAGCTCGCATCTCCCTTCGGCTTTGCAGAAACACTAAGTGTTCCCGAAGGATGAAGTACTGCCAAAGCCTCCTCCAGATGGAAGTGCCGGTGACTTCTCTACCACAGGTTATGAGGGAGTCGGGGAAGGAAGTGATTTCTGTAAACAAGAATCCATTTACAGATCCCCTTCTCCACCTGCACTCATCCTCAGACGAAACAAGCAAATGCTTTGTAATAATATAGAAAACACACCGAGGATAGGATAACAGCATGGCTTCCGCCAGCTCCTAAAGAGACGATGGCTCTAGGACTCAGGGATAAGCACACATAGATTACAATGAAGAACGGGGGAATACATTAAGTGAGACTGTCCTTACTCCGAATTTTATAATGTAGGAAAGGAAGTCATGTTACTTGTAAGCTATGCCCTTAGCAAATTCTAACACAAAGACCACCTCTGTGTCAAAAGGTCATATCTAGAGAGCTGCCTCCAAACATGGGGGAGCTGGCCCTGAACAAAAATTATGCAGTAATATAACCCTGGGAGGGAAATGTGTTTTCGGTTATACCAGGGCCTGGTCCAGCCTTTCCCACAGGCTCTTCCTAAATAGGAACTTGGCAAAGGGATTAGTGGAGCTGGAAGGGACGTCCTTGGCTTTAGAGGTGAGGCCCGTCAGAGTCCCAAGGAAAGTCAGGCAGAAGTTCTCTCCGCTGGTAATAAGCACTGAAGAATCAGTGTCACAGCCATTTTATTAATTTTCTTGACAGGCAGATCTAGTTACCATGCAGGCACCACAAAATCAAAACATACGCATGTCAAGTGGCCCCATCTGTGGTGGGGCTCTGCCAAGGCCCATGTCACAGCAACACAAGGAAGCAGAACCCAGTTCCTCAGACCACGTGCCGGGTCCTGTGAGCAAGCCTCTGCTGGAAGAAAACCACCAGAGCTCCAGCGAAAGAGCCAGGGCGCTTCTCTCGGTGACAGTTTGTTAACCTAGGTCTGGACTCCTTGGATGGAGCAGACAAGTCCTGGGAAACACATGGCTACATCTGGCTTTGGTGCCCCTTCCCGAAACACAGCCACACAGACCTCCCTGCTACTTTCATTTTGCCTGCACTCAGTTTCATCTATGCAGGGCAAAAGCAGCCTGGATTAAAGAAGACATTTAGAAGCACACGGTGACTTTATTTGTAAGTGGGTTTGAACTTGAAGTTCTGCTGAGCTGGGGTCTATGGGTACAGAATAAACACAGAGGATATATTTTAAATCAAGATGTTGTTCACTATAAGCAAGCACGGCTACAATTACGGGAGTGGGTCCAAGCCAAGCTATTCTTTATGTCATACTATGAGCACTACCTATTGGCTAAATAATGCCAATGACATAGGTACACAGAATAGAGGCCTGACACATCCCAGCTCTAAGTAGCACAATGCACAGTTGTGGTGTGCAACCTTGACTGCCGAAGCCCATACTCCAGAAACTTGCTTTGTTTGGCACCTAGACTCAGAGGCACTCAAAGCTCTAGACCCTGGAGAATAGAGTGGGTTCATTCTCTCTTCCTGAGTTGGCCCATCAGCCATCTGGAGACTAGGAGTGGCTGCCCAGTGAGCTCTGACAGGGAGATGAACACATCCAGACTGCACGTCTCTTGGGGTGAAGACTCGGTTCATCTTTTCTTTCTCCATTCAAACAGCCATGGCATGTCAGCCTTGCCGGCCTCCTTGATTGCGCACAAGTAAATAAATGAATTATGTTGTTGGGGTTTGGGCTTCAGCACAAACACATGGTCTGCATTTATCCCCACAGTGAGAGGTCCACCAGCCACTCGATAGAAAAGAGCGAAATGATAATTCTTTTCTTTAGGCGCTCTGGTGCCATATGGAATGTATATAAATCATATTTTTGTTTTAACAGTGGAGGCTTTGTTGATAGATAAACATGTGGTTTATCTAAAAAAAAGAGAGAGGATTGTGCTTTGAACAATCATTTAATGGCCACGGATGTGCCAAATAAAAATAAAAACATAATTTTGAAAGGAGCTGGCCTCATTCCCAAATCTGTAACAGGAATTTCTCCTCAAGCAGAGAAGTTAAAGCCCGCCGATCTGTTTTGAGTTTAAGCTGTGCTCTACTCAACCCCACGACAAATGGAATCCTAGGCTAATGTGCTCTAATAAGACAAGACGTTACCTTTATGAATGACCTCATAGAGAAGAGGTTGGCAAGCATTGTGGAGAGGCCTTGAGCCAGACAGCTCTGGGCTATGAAACCCAACTTGAGCTCTGCGAGGCATATTGCGTCATCACCCTCTTTCCAATTCCAGCTGGGAATGTTGAGCAGATGGGCCTGTGGGAATAACAAGAGGTATGAGACCCTGTTCTGCTCCTTGTCCGAGTGTCTGAAAACTCTTCTGGGAACTGTTGCCCTGTCCAAGGACACTGGGTCATCCAAACTCATCCTTCCTTCCATGTGCCTCCGTCTGAGGCCAATGGCTAGGTTCTCTGCTTCTATTCAACAGACTGTGGCCTTTTGGCAACGTTGCTTCTACACTCAAGGTCCACATTTTCCTCTCAAGTTTGCTATTTAGCCAGAGTCAACCCAGAGAGGATTTTTCTCTTGTGAGACACACCAGCCCCCATTATTAAGAAGTCTAGTTAGCATTTTTTAAAAGCGGCTCTCAAGTAGTATGATATTGTCAGATGTCTATGTGTCTGCATATTCTTGGACTTTTTTCCTGCCTTTTCAATATTCTAGATCAGTGACACCCAAAACTTGAGTGGGTACCTGCATGCCCTGCAATGTGTACAAGACCACAGGTTGCTGGCCCCACCCTGCTGAGTTTCTGCCTGCATAGATCTGGGGTGGAGCTGGAGAACCTCCAACTCTATATGTGGGAGGTAATGCTGCTTCTCTGGAGGTCACTGTGCAGGACCCATTCACCTAAACCATCACAGCACAGACATCCTGCAGTCTCTCACAGACGGACTGTCCTATTCCGCAGTTATGGCAGAACCGAGCCTGGAGTCCCAGAGGCATGCTCACTAATTTTTGCCAGTGGCACACAGCAGAGAGTCATACATGAGAGAGTGAGTGAAAAAGTTGAAATTCAGGAAGTTCTCTAGTGTTTGGTGATTAACAATAACAGCAGAAGATAGTTTCAAGGCTTGAATATCAGGGACAGTGCCTGTGTTCAAAAACATCCATTATATAAATTTGAAACATGAAGGCAAATCTAAGAGAGAGTGTGTGTTAGAGAAAGAGAGAGCTGGGCACAGCGTTTAAGTGTGTGGGTTACTAAAACCTCAATTAGAGACCATCGGATATATGAGACTGAAAGCCAAAGTCTCCAGAGCAAAGGAAATGAACCTCTTATTCCATGTGAGCAGGCCACATTCATTCCACGGGATTTGATCCAGTCTTAGTAGTCAAAATTGAAGAGGAAAAATGATTAATTGAATAATGACCAGAGAAAAATGATGAAGACAAGAGAGGGTGAGTGTTCTGCGAAAGGTCTTTTGAGAAACAGTAAAAAGAGCCAAAAATCTCCAAGATTGAGGGGACACGATCCTCAGAGAGAGAGAGAGAGAGAGTAGTCATCATATCTGATGCCTCAGGTACTGCTATGTCGAGATTAGCTTTGCTCTACTCTGTCCTTGCAGCCAGGATAGGACTGGCCTGGCATATATTTAAAGAAAGCAGACGGGTTTGGCTTGTTTCACAAAGGAACTTTCTAAGGACAAAATATGACTAATAAATGGAGATGCTAGTTTAAACAACAACAACAAAAGCACAAAGTCTTTATTCCTTAAACTTAGCATTTTTCTAATATGCTAGAGTAAACCATGTTTTGTACAGGAAGTTGACCCAGAGTTCTTCTAAGTCCCTGTACATGCCAAGTCTCTATAGCTCTGAAATTATATCTCCCTATGCATCAGCAAATGGGAGGCAGAAAAAAAAACCTTCCCTTCATCTACAGAATCAAAGAGGCCAGTTGCAAAAGAAGGATGGAAGATCCTGTTGTAGAAACAAAGAACAGAGACCAGGACTTCTTGCTCTGCTTGGAGAAACCCTACACTTGTGAAATGTCTGCTTGCAAAATCTACCTCTGTGACAGTCTCCAATCCTAAGCCTGCAGTGGTTACTGCTGAAGAGACAACTGCTTGCTCTTTAAACAAAGTGTGGTTAAAACAGGCCTGTGTGTGGGCCACAGAAGAGTGAAATTTGTGTGGAGCCGAGCACCACGGGGTCTTCGGCACATCCCACACAATGCTAACAGAAATCCCCACCATCTTTCCCATTTCTCTCCCCATTCTTCCCTGGCTTATGCCATCAGTTTTTTCATTTTACTTTCCTGGCATGGTACAAAAGACCTTCACCCATGTGGAGAAATACTCATATGAGAAGAATGATAAATGGCATCCACGTGATGAACTTGTCTGTGACAAGAGATCCGGGTGGTCTAGTCCCGACAGAGACCACATATCCTCCATGCCTTCTTCAAACAATTGAAACCTTGCAGAATCTGACCTATCTCTATGCTATTCAAAATATGAAGATCTGGCATGCAAGCCTTGGGTCTCTCGGGTTCTGTGTAAGTCATGTTCGTTCCCAGCTTCCAGTGCCTCCTTTCTTGGCCACTGTATTTTCTTTTTTTAAAAAAATTTTTAATGATTTATGTAACTTTATTTTATGTGCATTGGTGTGAAGGTGTCAGATCTTGAGGAACTGCGTTTTTATACAGTTGTGAGCTGCCATGTGGGTGCTGGGAATTGAACCCGGGTCCTCTAGAAGAGCACATCTCCAGCCCCCACTGTATTTTCTCTAGTCATGGGACAGGAAGTGAAGCTGAACTGGCAATGGCCAAGAAGGAAGGCTGTGTGCATGAAGCCAAAAGAGGGTATTGACCCAGGAACTAAAATTCTTTCTTTTTGGAAACGTCATCCTCTTCCATTTGAGGGAAGTTGAGTCTGGTGAACAAACAAAACAAAAAGCACAGCAGCATTTCCACATAGGAATCTGGAGGCAACTTTCTTCTAATTTGGCAAAGAACAAAAATCAGGTTCAACATTAATCACACACCCCTCCCTCTGTTCATGCTACTGGAACACCCTTCACTCCCTGGAGAAGAACTGTAAAATGTGCTGTCCGAGGAAGGTGGGAGGAATGAATTCTGGCTACACTTACTTCTCCTACTCACACTCAGCTGTAGAGAGATGCTGTGAAATACGGAAAGCGAAGAGTCTACAAGTGGGAAACCCGCAGTATTTGTAGCCTGCATCTTCAGTTGCTGACCACTGAAGGACCATATGCTAACAGCTTCATCTCCAGGGAGCTACTCTCTTAGGAGGAAGTGGAACCTTTGGGAGGTAGCAATTAATAAAGGGTCTTTGAGTCATTGAGATCATTGCCTAGCAAGAAGCTAGTAGGACACCAGTCAGCCCTTTTTGATTTGATGGCTATGAATTGACCCATTGCTTTCCACTAGTCTTTCCCCGAATGATGTGTTGCCTTAGCACAAGCCTAAGAGAGCAAGGCTAACTCATCAAGGCCCAAAGCTTTGTTGTTAGAATGACAGGAAGCTGCCTGTGATGACTGACAGAATCTAGACTCATCTATGAGACAGGCCTCATGGCATGCCTGTGAAGGATTATCTTCATTCTGGCATTAAGGTTGGAAGACCCACCTGCTGTGGGTGGCATCATTCCCTGGTTGGAATCCTGGACTGTGTAAGTGATAAAAAGGGAACTGAGTAACTGCATGTATTCATCTCTGTACTTCCTGATGGTGGATGTTGACATAATCAGCTACTTCAGACTCCTGGAAGCTCTCTAGGATGCACTGAGCCTTGAGCTGTGAGCAGAAATAAAACCCTCGTTCATGTAGGTGCTTTTGTGAGAGTATCCTATCATAGGCACAGGAAAGTTATGAAGGCAATGATGAACACAATTACGCCCCACATGCAAGCAGAGACAATGGGGATGCTCAAAGAACTGGCATCTATCTGTGCTGGAGACTTGGTTTCTAGACAAAGACAAGAAGCTTGGGAAATAAAACTACCAATATCAGGTGAGTTATTAGGAATGACACTACTGTCCAGCGTGTCATGCATTATCCTGTCTTCGGAGAGCTTTCCCCACACTGTCAGCCAACACACTCTTTCATCTTCATTCAGAGAAGGCCAGCTTTTAAAAGTTCTCCCTGTAAAACGTGGCTACCCTAAAGGGACCCATTTTGTAGAGCCCCACCCTTCCCCTAGGAACCACAGCTTGGTTCTGTGGGCTACTGTCCCACTTAAATAGAAGGCGGCAGTTGGCTGTCCTGTCCTAGTTTGCCGGCTGCTGAGTGACCGTGGTTTGTGCTGGTCAGAGGTGATCTGTCTAGGACAGAGTTTTGACTCCCGCTAGTCTGAAGCTACACTGTGCAGCTAAAATGCACAGATGGCACAATGAGGACTAAATGAGATAACGGATGTCAAAGCTCTTTTAAGCCCATAAAACAGGACACAAATGTCTGTAATTATTATGATGACAAACTCAAGGCCAGCAGTTTCCCTGTATCCCTCTAGGCGCCATAAGATCACCCTCGTTACATCACAGGGGTTTGACATTGTTTTTATTTCAAGCCTGCTGTCCAATTGTGGGAGCCACTACCCCTTCCAGAATATGTCTTCAGTGGCATAGCTTTCACACAAGCATCGGGGCTTTCCTGAGTGCCTATATAAGTGGGGGGAGTTCTACATGCATCTCAGATGAGCACAGAGAAAAAGTCACGAGAAGAAGAAAATATTGGAAGAAAAGAAGAGTGTGTGAAAAGGGTAGGTCATCTTCAGCAACTGCAAAAATCACAAGGCAGTGTGAAAAACTGTCTACTAAAAATCTGCTAAGAATGACCTAAAGACAAGAGGATGCCCATTCTAACAGGGGGATGGGAAGTAACAGAGGAAAATGTACTTTGTCAAAATTACTCTATCACTGTATCCTTACTAATCTAACAGTGTTCTGAAAATGATTTTGCCTGACCCAGAAACCCAAGGAGAGTGAGTTGGATGGTTCTAAACAAGACGGGTGTTAAGCAAATAGTCCTGGGCCTGCTGATGTCTTCACCACCGTGTCTGAATGATTGTATTGGAGAGTCTGTCCAAGATCTCCGGGTGGCTGTACTCATGTGAATACTGACCAGGTACCATCTGGCTCTGAGGCCAATCAAGTTGCTTTGAGTTTGACAAGAACTACACAGCTGAAATCCTCTTTAATTTCTTGAAGATGCTACATCAGCACCCGTTGGAAAGAGAAGAAAAGGAACTGACATCTCTTTCTAAACATACAACATTAATTTTCCTATTCAGTCTAAATTCAGCCAAAAATCTAAACAATCGCTTAAAGCACTCCCACACTAAATGAAATTTCAAATCACAAATGAAAGAAGGAGTGTTCCTTGCAGCAGGAGCTGTCACCAGTCACAGCCTTGCTAACAAAATTCACCTCCACCTACAGAGGCTGCTGTCAAGAACTTCAGCAGTTGATGCCTGGGAGTTACCAACAGGCCCCTTACCGCAATCTTGAGTACTCAGAGACAAAGAGAGGTGTCACCTTCGGTGCCCACCACCAAACCCACTGGCTGGAAAGTAACAGAATTTCCAATAGAGCCACCTGCCGAGGGTTGGGCAATGGTCGGCATTGGGCAGCAATTCCAAGCAGTGGGCCAGTCGCTGACAGCAGGACCCACTCAGCAATAGACTCTGATGGGCCTCCACACAGCTAAATGGGCCAAAACTTGCCAGCAATTAAGAAATAATAGCATGGTGCTGGTGGCATTTGGCAGAATGGGTTTTCTCTGGGACACCTGATGACTTGTTTTGTAGAGAATATGGCCTATAAGATGGGGCATGCTGTCACACATAACCCTGCAGGGAGTTATTTCTGTTCAGACAGGACACCTGGCCCCAGGTGCTGAGAAGCCTCCAGTCTCTCAGCTCCATTAAGAAGACAACTGATACCACATCAAGTAGAACAAGATGCTACCTTCCCTCCTCCAAAGCTGTCTAGAGCTCAACCCCAAGCCAAGTGAAGGAGTGCTGCCTTTGATTAGACCTTTATCTCTGTTTCAGTGAGAGGTGATTACAACAGCAACACTAACTCTAACGTCTGAGTTCTTTCTAACCAGGCCCCATCGGAAGCTGCCATACTGGGAGCACTGCTTTAAGTATAAACTTTAGATAAACCACTACTTTCCCAAGTATAACTGGGGAGATTCCCAATCTGAATTTGAGGATAATGTCATGTTCTGCTTTTTTTGTTCAGTTTGTATTATGTTCTTTCAAGTGCACTTGGCCACACAGAGAGAAATTCTACCAGTTATCTGGCCCACTCTCTACACCTTCCTTCATCAGTCTCTAAGAACACAAAATCAGATTTTATCTTCACAGCTATCCTACCCCCTAAGTAGCAGGAAGAGGGTTAATTACAGAGTCGCTGTTCAATAGATATTGACTGAATGACTGCAGGACATAGAAATGCAAGTTGTTGGGACTTAGGTATGGACAGGATCTAAGAACATATCAATAGTTCTGAACCAAAGTGTTCAATAGCTTCTTCTTGAATGAATGAATTACTCTAAGAGGCGCCAAAGGCACCTCCTCCCATTGACCCACCTCAAAAAATAAGTTGATGACCCTGAAGGAATGTCCTAGAGAGAAGGGACATTTTAACTACTGCATATCTTTGCCAGACCTCAGGGCATGGTACCGGTGTCCTTACATGAACATGTGTGTGTGTATCTATGGAGAGAGAGAAGGGGCTAGCACCTGAGGTCTGAGGATGGCTCCAGGCCTGGAAGCTTACCACATACCTTGTTATGATACTGTAGCATCTGAGTTATGATCCTGATTTTCGGGTGGTAGTTCTTTATGGAGATCACTCTGCAAAAGAGAAAGCCAGAACTGAGCATACTCTGTGGAGCCCACAGACTAGAATGGAGGACTCATCTCATTAGGTAACCTTGGTCAAGCCAGCAACTAGGGCCATCCTCGGGCTTGTGTCCAAAGAAAGAATGTGTTCTCCTCACATTACCCTCCAGGACCATGACAAACATCAGAGAAGTGAAGTACACTTGATAGATGGAGGCTGGTGACCAGGACTGTAAGGCCAGACTTGCCTACAAAGCAAGTTCAAAGCTAGCCTGGGCTACATGAGAGTCTGCCTTAAAAACAAACACGAAGGACTCCTGAGACATGTAGAAGATAGACTATGAACCTGAATGGACTGGAGATGGGAGCTTCTGATGTTTACAGACAGGTTCTGGAGGTCTGCAGTCCTCCACACTCTCTGTTCTGTGTCCAGTTAACAACCTAAGACAATGACGACAACTCAAACAGGCCACCTGGCAAGTGGCTCTGATTTTCACATTCTCTTCAGACATCTGCATAAATGTGATACTTAAGCAGAACTCTTGGGATATGATGGAGGACTCTGCCTTACACAGCATAACGATGACTTGACCACTGGTTCAAGTTAAACACCAGCACCCTAAACATACGGTTTATTGCCCCCCCCATCCTTTACTGAGCCTGGATGACCCTACCCACCAAGCTTCCCCAGCATCCCCTCTCCTGTCAATCACACTGCAAAGGGAAGAAGGAAGGAGCCCTTGAATGGAAACACCTGGATTCCAGCACAGCCATTGTGCTAATGAACTGGGTGACCCTGAGGAAATCCCCAGGCTCTCTGTTCCTGTCTTCTCATCTGGACACTGGGGGCAACTTCACCTGCTCTGTTTACTTCACAGGCTTGGTATGAGGAGCAAATGGGAGACCAGATGTTAAAATGCTTTGAAATCATTAAAGCCCTTCTCCACGTGTAAGTTATGGTTTTTGTCATTCCCAACCCTGTCAGGGGTGACATTGTACATTTCCTTCTGTGACAAGGAAGGCTAAAGAACGGAATTCCAGAGAAAGGGCCACCTCCTAAGCCTCCTCAGGAACACAAGCTCAATTATCACAGCCGCCCCCACAAACTTCCCACCCAGCTCAGCGCTTCCCTTTGCCACGTTTTTCTGCAAAACTGGAGAGAAGGAATCAGACAGCAGCTTCATCTGAGGAAACTGCAACCAGAGGAGTGGGGAGACAGCTCCTTAGAAAGCCGCTCTCTGCGGAAGGACTTCCTCTCAGTCTCAAGGGAGTGCCATGGTGACCTCTGCTCATAACTCAGTGGTATCTGTCAGCCTCTGTCGGCCTCTGAGAGCCTCTCAGCTCCAGCCAGCTTTCTGCATTAGTTCGTTTCAAATGACTCTTTGACATTTTAATTTCAAAAACAGCAGATTGGTCTCATTAATCTAAGGAGGAATATACAAATAAAAGAAAAACTGAAGCCACATTTAACCCTGACTTTCCGATTCCCATTTGGATCTTTTCCCCAATCCTCTTTAGTGGATGGCTTACATACATTCTGGAAGCCCTCTGTGCCCAGTGAGCTCTATACTTTGGCATCCCACCATTCTCCCTGACACCTATGTGTGCTCACATTAACCCTTCATCCTCAAAATTCAAGTAAAATATTTCAATTATAGGGAATGCCCATTTCAAAATTTCCAAAAGTTTCTGTTTTTCACCACTGAGGAAAAATAAAAGTATATATGCCAGGAACTTCACTGTGAGGTCAAAAACATAAGCTTCGTGCTCCTGGTTTCTTTGTTTGTAATAAGGAAAAAGATGGAATCTTGTCCCTAGAAGAGCTATATTTTTAGCACTTAAAATGGCAGGAAAAAAGTCTGTCAAAGAGTAGAAATGCTGCTTAGTTCAGAAATGACAAGGGACACATTCTAAACTGAAGCTGACCTGTGCGGTCGCTTTCCAGTGAGGCCTGTAAGGAGATGGGCTCAGGTGTGAAGCTAGTCCCCATTGCATCTTCTTGGCAGCCTGGCAAACCAAGTCTTACTAGAATGTGTGCACAAATTTCCTTAAAACACCGAATGGAGCCTATTGCCAAATAAAAAAGGACTGGAAAGAAAGACGCTCGTGCCAGACAGTTTCTTCCAGACAGAAGGTCCAGATACTGACAGGAAGACGGGATCAAGCTAAATGCACCACAGGAATTCTGTATGTGCACGTAACTGGAGAACACTAATTAAAACGAAAGCATTGCAAAGACCCAAAGGCAACTTCCCAACTCTCACCTTGGGGTAAATCCTGAGTCCCGGGGAAGCAAGCTGCAATTAGCGTTTGGGCTTTATGTCTGGTCCAAATGATGCCTGTTCACTGTTAGGTGAGAGTTGTTGGGACTACAGCGGGAATGAAGCATTTTCCTTAGTCCAGGCTCTCTCTAGAAAATTCCCTTTATTATCTTCCCCTACCTCAAGTGACTATTCTGCAATTTATACCAGAGAAAAGACAAAATCTAAAAGGATTGCAGCTAAGGAGAGCAAAATGTTCAGATGTTTTGGTCATTTTTCTACAGCCAGGATACGATGACAAGTTTGAGGGAAGAAAATAGCTAAAGAAATCTTTTCTTGCCAGGCGGTGGTGGCGCGCGCCTTTAATCCCAGCACTCAGGAGGCAGAGGCAGGCAGATCTCTGTGAGTTCGAGACCAGCCTGGTCTACAAGAGCTAGTTCCAGGACAGGCACCAAAACAACAGAGAAACCCTGTCTCGAAAAAAAAAAAAAAAGAAATCATTTCTTTTTCGGAAAAGAGAGTAAGTTAAGGTCTTAGAGTAGGGTTAAAATTAGCCTTTGAGAGGCCTAGCCCATGGACAGATAAGGCATTGACTATTAGTGTTCTACATTTTTTTTCTCTCCAGACCAGGATCTATTTAAAAACAAACAAACAAACAAAACAAAACGTGAGGAGTGGGGAATTCAATCCATAAAGAATGAAGACATAATCTATAAAATTCAGTATGTCAGAGATCCATGCTAATATTAAAATCACTCATCTGAGGAAACTGAGACAAGTTAATTAACTAATCACTTTCAGAGCAATAATAACCTGATGCAGACAGGCTGGGGAAGTACTAACTAGGGGTTTCTTAGCTTCAGCTATTGGCATTTTGGGTCAGAGAGTTTTCTAGATGGGAGTGTGCTATAGCAGATTCCAGCAAGACCACCTGCTTGCCGTTTCAAATGCAAAGATGTTGAAAGATGTAGAAAAAATACCTCCTGTAAGTATTTTAAGACCCTTCCCAGTAAAGACATCTTGGGTCCAATTCCTTTCAGATAACATAATTTTTTTAAAAAAAATGGAAATTTAAGATTTTATGTGTATGAATCTCTGTGTGTAGGTGTAGGTGTAGGTGTAAGCCCATTTGAAGGCAGAAGTCAGCACTGAGTATTTTTACATGGGGACCAACTTGCCTTTTTAAAACAGGTCTCAGTGACCTGGAACTCACTGAGTTAGGTTAGGCAGCTTGGCGGGTGAATCCCAGGGACCTGTTGCCCCTGACTACTAAGGATACAAGTGTGCCTCAGTTTCTAAAATTGGTTCTGGGGTTCAGACTCGCGTCATTACATTACACAGGAGGCAGGCACTTCTCCAACTGAGCCATCTCCCCAACCCTGCGCATTATTCATTTTCTAGTTCTTTCCCTAGGAACCTGAACTCCATGAGCAGTTCTGAGCAGTGGACACTGCTCTTCAGCTCTACCAGCTCCACACAGGAGCCATTGTTGGCCGGTGATGAAGGGAGGATGATCGTCTGAGACAGTCCTGATGCCAGGAGTTACCTCATGATGTTGGAAGCGTCTTCTGCATCCGGGTCAGCGCAGTACTTATTGGCAAGGATCAGGCATGCATCTGCTGACTCTATCTGAGAGACCAAAGAAAAAAATCATAACAAACACAAACACAGACAGACACACACAACCGCAGTCTCTCAGTGTCGACAGCATTTAGAGAACCTGGTGTTTCGCAAGGAAAGGGGGAAAAATTGTGAAAAAATTATAGTTTTGTCAAAAGTGTAGGTTGCAGGTCAGGCCCTTGATACAGAACAAACGTTCCAGCGTGAACCTGAGTAATTCCGCACCTCATTTGCCCTAGCTGCTTACAGGCATACTTGCCGAAGTCCTTAAATTCACCTAATGGAGCTGTTCAATCTCATTCCCACTTCCTGTTTAAACTGTGTGCCATCATCTTAATTAACCAGGAAATAGAAGTTGGTGGGTTAAACCCCTTCCCTCAGGTTAGGACGTGGACAAGAACAATTGCAGATTCAGCAGAGTAGACTGGACCATCCAGGGGCTGGAGAGACGACTCAGGGATTAAGAACACTTGCTGCTTTTGCAGAAAATAGATGTTCCATTCCCAGCACCCACATGGTAGCTCACACCACTGAAAAGTTTCAGGGCATCTGACTCCCTCTTCTCATCTGTAGACTTCAGGCACCATGCAGGCAGGGAAAACACTCATACATATAAATTTAAAATAAGTACATCTTTTTAAAAAAATCCTTTATCAAACCTTATGTACATTTTTATTACGTGTGTCCCCAGAAGGAACTGGAGCCTTAAATAGACCACGGTTCTGCTCTGTTTACTGTGCATTACTACTCAGGTATTCAAAGGACAAATAGTTTATATAAATGAAATGATACTTTACAGATGCATCCAAAAGGCAACCTACTGACTTATCCTAATGTGAGCCAAAAGGAGGGTTGTTCCTTAGACAGACCGTGAGTTTGATGTGCTAATAATTGCTTGCATTTAAACTAGGCCTATGAACAAAAGCCATTTTCTCTGTTCTTATGACTTAGGTCATGTCTGGATAATATTAAGAGGAACTAGCCTACATACGCATGAGAATTCACAAGCTGACCTGGGTCTGCAATTCTCCTGCTCAGAATGTTGTACTTACTCGACTGTTCCAGCATGGAACTGTTCAGCAGGAGGGCTGTAGTTCTGTCCCCAATATGTCACGCACTGTCTCTGGATTTCTTTAATAATATGAAGAATTCATACAAATCCTTCTAGATTTTCTATGTTTGCCACTACAGCAATTACAGAACTGCTTGGTGACCACAGTTAGCATTTAGGCTTCTGCAGGTTCACACAATATTAGTGAACTGCCACTGGAACACAAATGTGGAACACACTTACTAAAACTGTGTTAAATGAAATAAATAGCAAATGTCAGTTTATTGTGTCCCTTCCTTTTCTAAAGTCTTGTTTGTACTTTATGAGAAGATGCCAGTTCAAAAGGGCCCATGAAGAATATGGTTAACTTATTACCAAATGGTGCAGAGTCTATTTTTTTTTTTTTTTGGAAAAGGGAAGCACAAATGTTTTATAGCTTTGTGTAATTTTCTTTTCTAACATTTCTCTCAGATATAATTAATGGATTTGAAAGCTATGCTGAGTTCAATTAGGTGGAAATTAATCATCTTTGCTGTTACATTGTGCATGGCTTTTTAGTCATTCAACGTTAATTTTTTTATATTTATTTAGTATTAGAGAAAGTGGAGTACAGAAATCACCCACTGTTAAATTGGGTGGACCAGAGTTTGGGGTACACATGTTTACTATTGTAAAAGTTTCTTGGTTAAATGTTCTCTTGATTAGCACGAAGTGTCCCTCTTTGTCTCTTCTGGTTAATTTTAGTTTCAAGTCTATTTTGTGGGATAGAAGGATATTGGTGCCTGCTTGCTTTCTGCACCCATCTGCTCAGGATGGCTTTTCTATCCTGTCTCTTTAAAGAGGTGGTCATCTTTGAAGGTCAGACAAGTTTCATGTACACAACAGAAAGATGGCTTCTTTCTTAACCCATTCACATAATTTGTGTCCTTTGACTAAAGAAGTAGAGCCCATGTTTTATATTTCAAGTTATTATTGAAAGGTGTGCATTACTGCTATCAGTTTGTTATTCTCCTTGTTGTTTGTGACCTTAGCCCTACATTGTGCTTCAGTAGTTGTAGCTTCATTGTTTCTTTTCCTAGTTTTGTGGAATTGTATGTGCGTGTGTGCATGTGTGTGTGTGTGTGTGTGTGTGTCCGCGCACGCACGCATGTGTGTGCACATTAAAATGAGAGGACAACTTGTGGGAATTGGGTCTCTCCTTCCACCAAGTAGGTCCTGGAGTTTAAACTCAGGTCAACAGGCTTTGCAATGAGTGCCTTTACCCACTGAACCATGGGGATGAGATAGCCCCAAGTTAACATCGGAGTCCTACTTTGGGAGTGGTTAGTTTAGAGGAAAGTAAGTTCTATATTAGGATGAACCTAAGTGTGGAATACTTAGAGATGGTCTAGCGTGAGCAAGCAGAGCAAGGTCCTGGGGCCAACGAAAGAGTGTACCGGGGTTAGTAACATCTGAGTTACCTTGTTAATGGTTTAGAAGATGGCTCTTGGCTACCCCGGGAATCATGGCCCCAATCCTCATGAAAGAGTAAAGACATTTATTTATCCTTACCTTGACTCTGGCAAGATCGTGGGGATTGAGGACAGAACCCTGATAAAATTCCACCTGAGTAAAATGTCGTTTGAACAGGGCCTCAAGCTCAAGGTTAGGGGAGATGCTGCGTAGACAGAAAAGAAACAACTGTTAAAACAACATAGTGGAGATCCCAGACTCTGGGCCTCCCTTGCTTTTCATTTCTACATAAAGACCTGAACAAAGGCCCTAACCTTCAGAGACACCCCCTTCCCTGCAAGAAACAAAAGATTCATATTTAGGAGAAGTAAACTCCACTGAAAACAAACCCAGAAGTCTCTGACCTTACAAAAGTTAGAGCCTATATGGTAAAGTATCTTCCTCTTTGTTACCATTAGAAACATCACAGCTATGACATCAGTGTGATTGGTCATTACTTCTGTCAACTTGACTGGGCCACTTGGAAGGCCCAGATTAAGGTGATTTCCAGGTTGTTTATGAGGGTTCTTTTCCCTTAAGATTCACCTTTAAATCTGTGAACTTGTGGAAAGTGGACCTTTCTCCATGTGAGTGGATACCAACCAAGCAAAGACCTAAAAGGAAAGGGCAGAGGAAGACCATAGCTTCCCCTTGTCTCCTGCATGCCTATATGCACTATGACATCTTATCCCTTCCACCCTTCTCTGTGGACCAGGGTTTCACATCAGTGGCTCCCCTTGTTTCAGGCCTTTGAGCTTTAGACTGAGTCATAACACTAGTGGGGTTTTCAATTTGGAAAAGGTAGAGTATGGGACTTCCCAGCCTCCAGAATTGAGTGAGCTAATGTCTTAGCAAGAGTCTTTCTCTATATAGGATGTGTATATCTGTAAGTCAACTGTGTAACCCAATCAAGTTTCCTTTCACAATAAAAGCTGACATTTATTGAATACTTCCTGCATGCCTAACTGGGCTCTGCGCACTTCACATGGATTGATTCATTTGATTCTTACAACAGTCCAAGGAGACAAGAGTATCTCCTCGCTTGTCCATAGACCTGGAAGCTGAGGCACGGGGAAGTAACATGCTCAGCCAGTCAGTCCTTCGTTAAGTCAGGATTCAGATTAGAGATGTACTTGGCACTATGTCTATGGATTAAACAAAAATCCATTTACACAGCCTCGGGTATCAGGTGAAATAACAGTGTTAATATGCCTCATACACTGTGTGATATAGTTAATAACTATCAACTGGATGGGATCGAGAGTCACCTAGGAGACCAACCTCAGAGCATTTATGTGGAGGATTATCTGGATTGAGTTAAATGAGGTGGAAAGATTCATTCTGAACATGGCAGCACCAGCTTTTAGGCTGGTACTAAACACGAAAGGAGAAAACAGACCAAGCCCCCGCATCCATGGCTCATCTGCATGCGGATGCAGTGTGCCCGGCTGCCTCACGCTCTCACTGCCATGTTTCCCATGGAAACCTTGCTTTCTTTGAGTTATTTTGTCAGGCATTTTGTCCCAGTGAAAAGTAACTCTGTCACCCTGCTTCTTCTCTTGTCTCGCTTGGTCCCTCTGCTGCAGCGGTAAAGTATCCACACAATCACATCAGTTATCCCACTCCTGCACTGCAGATGCCCCTGACTGCACACGGCCACACTGATGAAGGGACGAGAATGGTGACTTGGATCCTAGTGAACTTCCCTGTTCAGCCTTTCAGAGAGAAACTCAGATATGGTCCCAGACCACTTCACTGGAGTCCGCTTTCAACCCTGGCCTAGGGTGTTGCTTCACCTCCAAGGGTTCTAATCAAAGTCCACATTCTTATGGAAAACTACCTCTTACCTAAGGAGCCAGCAGGGGTCATGGCTTATTCAACCTCATCTCAATTCTCAACCACCTCCATCTCTACCACACCTGTGGGTCCTCAGAGGGAAGCACTTGGCTGGGCAGAGGCTCTATGGACAGCAGTGGGTTCTTACTTGTGAAGAAAGACAATCTCCACGTTGACATCGTCCCGGTCCTTGTGCAGAAAGTCCTTCAGGAAGTTAGAGACACTCTCCAGAGTGATGTGGCCACAGACTACAATGTGCCTGCATAGGAGAGGCCAGTTAGTTCCAGCCAGACCCAGGGACACGGCCCCACTTCCTGATCCCTGACAAGGCAGATAGGGTGAGGCAGCTGCAAGAGGATATCTCCACCCTCAGCCCCTGTAAACCCAGTGCCCACACCAGAGGGGCATGAGGCAAAGCGATGGTGCTAGCAGTTGCTCAGAGGCTCCTGGACAGGAAAAGCATATGGCTGCTCACCTGAGGCTGCACAAAATCCTATTAAAAGCCCAGCGACTTGGCCAAGTGGTTTTATGCATTTAACAATAAGTGACATTATGCTTGTGCTTAAATGCTACATTATCAAGTCCCTTGCAGATTCCTATCGCTCCCTTTCTGCCCACAAAGCGTCCTCCTGGGAGATTTACCGCAGCAGTCCTGGTTTATGACATACAGCTTATCAGGTAATGAGATAACAAATCTTGCTGAAACGATGATTTTGTGTGTAAGAAAGCGGACTTTTATCAGGGTGGCTAATGTGCGGCTTGACACGTTATAGGCTCGGCTGGCCATAAGCAGTAAAAAGGAAATTTTGCATTTTTCTACCATAACTTCTCCAACAATGGAGGCATGTAACACTTTACAGTAAGTGAGCATTACTCAGGGCTAAATGGAGATGAGACGCCCCTGGAATGGGCGATCAAGCTGCCTGCTGTGGCTACGTCCCCAGAAGGCCGCTACCTCAGGGTGCTGAAGACTTCCCCAGAGCCAAACTAATTCACCTGGAGACCCCTGCACCGGGCAGAAGCCAGGGAGACATGAGTGTGGAAATGCTGGCTTTGTTCTAGGGCAGCTCTGACCTCTGTTTCTTGAAACAGCAGCTCATCCCCAGGGTATGAGAGCCTTTTCCAGAACACGAAGACCTGCGGCCTGTCCAACAGCTTTCCTTCCTGAAGCAATGCAGCCTTAATGTCAGACTATCCTGGGCTCACTTACATTGGCTTCACAGTGCTCAGTCACAAGACCATGATCTGAGAATTTGCCCCAAGACCAAAAGTGGCTCGGCTGTGAAGCTACAAGCACCAGCTTCTAGCAAACACACTGTAGTAAGTAACTCAGCTCACACCACTCTACCCTTCAGGCCGACAACAGTAGAGGGAGATCTCTAATGTGCTTTAAGACTGGGCCAGGTGGTGAACATGCAATATGGCGATTTCCCCAGGAAACTTCAGAATGCCCGAGTCCTTTATCCTTTATAATTGCTCTGTTCACATTGTAACATGGCAGAAAACTCATTGGCTGGAGGCAACTTATAATAGGAGGCGGTGATGATGGTTTATGCAATGTCCCATTAGACGTCATTACAAGAGTCTGCCCTTTCGTGACAATTTGGTGCTCGACTAAGTATGTGAGAATAATGCAGTAAACTCACTGGGGAAATGATAATGGTGCAGAACAAAGAGTAAATCAATAATATGCACGATGCAGTTAATAATATTTCCATTATGGACTGTTATTGTTACGGTGGTGCACTTAGCCTGATCAGGCAAGCCATGGTCATCAAGGCAAAAGAAAAGTGACTGGGGTGAGGGGGTATAACATCAGAAGAGACATTGTAACATATGGCCCTCTCAACAGCATCTACTAGGTTGTGGGTGTCACTTAGCTACTCACCCATATTTTATGCCCAAAGCCCTGAATCACTGACCCCTTCTGACTATAAGACTGTAAAACACACGGTATATCTGAATTCACGAAATTAACCGACTATTTGGAATTTTACAATTTTTTTCTTATTTTAAAATGTTTCTTGTGATATAAGCGTATTTATGGACAAAGCATAAGTAGGTATGCATATTCTGAATGAGTTTTATGATTCTGAATTGGCAAGCATGTCTAGAATGTGACCAAGAAAGAGAAATTCCCTCCTGACTTGAACTGCACACAAATGACAGGGGTGTTACCTGGTGTGTTCTGTGCACTCTAATATCCTGCATCCTAATAAAAAGACATTAGGATGAAGAAAGCACCAACAGAAATCCAACTAGTAGGTATCTCTATAGTTGAAGCTATGTCTTGGATGAAAGAGCAAGCCAGTAAGCAAGAACCCCAGAAACAGGGGCTGGAGAGATGGCTCAGCAGCTGGAGCACTGGCTGCTCTTCCAGACGTCCTGAGTTCAATTCCCAGCAACCACATGGTGGCTCACAACCATCTGTCATGAGATCTGGCACCTTCTTCTGGCCTGCAGGTGTACATGCAGACAGAACACTATATGCATAATAAATAAATAAATAAATAAAATGTAAAAAGAACCCCAGTAACCTGTTTTGATGCCAAGGAGAGGATATCTCCGACAAGCTACTTATTCCAGTCCATACGAGAAGCTGAGAAGTAAGTCCCACCCCGCCAGCCTCTGCATCAGATATTGCAAATTTCAGAGTTCTACACTGGCATATCCCTGGTTATGATTCACAGCCAGACTCAAATGAATGGTGGCTTGAGACAGCTGAACATTCAGCCTTCCTGTTCTGTACACAAAGAATGGAGTGAACATCTGACAGCCCCACCATTGCTGCTCTGAAATCACTCATGCTACGAGAGATATGTGCCAGTGGAAGTGGGGAGACGAGGACTTCCCCACCCCAACACATCACGCTCAAATGAAAGGTTCAGCCAGCTGATTTATTCAGCCTTAGAAAAAGTCAGGGTTCTATTATTTGAAAGTGTGGCGGGTGCATATAAAATATATTCCAATGCAATCAATATTATCCCTTAAGCCTTTAATTAGCTTTCACTTCTCTTAAGAAGTAGACAAATGCTGGCAGGAGAGAGGAAGGGGGTAAAAAGATCGACTTTTTTTTTTTCATTTGGTGCTGCTGTCCAATATCATGCTAGACAATTGAAAATATATATCTTTTAGCTACAGCATGATTTCTGGGGTGGAGAACAGTCCTTATCAAAAAAGGAAGAAAAAAAATCTTCCTTCAACGTAATTGGTATTTTTGCTCAGAAAAAAAGGGGGAGGGTTGTCAGGGGGAAGGAGATTGATTGAAAGCAGATTGCCTTTTTGCCCAGGGAGAGTTATTAGGTACATTATCATGGCAACCTTGAAGAAGCCATATTGTTCCAATCTGCCCTGTATCTGATTTGAAGATTTACAGCCTCCCCCTTTTGTGCCAATAATCATTTCCCTCCATTTTGTTTTCCATACAATGGAAGTTATCAGGGAGCCCACATATTGAAAATGTTTGAATGTCGTCAGAATTGATGGATGGCGAGATGTTGCCTCTCCAGCCCTGTGTCAGCACTGGAAGATGAGCTTTGGTGTCCCATGTTTGAGGAAGCCTCTGGTGCCCTACAGGAGCACGAGAAAAGGAAGGCAAAGGGGAAAGCACTTGAAAATCCCTCCAGCACTAGTTTTTTGGGAGGATATTGTTTCAGAAAGAAAAAAAACCCACAATATTTCTTCTCCTATCTATTCAAAATATGATTGGAAATATTTTATAATTGAGAGCAGAGTACTGGGTCCTTGGAGGCAGTGAATATTCATGGGGCATGTCTGACAAAGGTCAAAAGATCCCTGTCCAAAATGATCTCTGCTGGCTTCCACAACACCTACAGACCTGTTGGGTGAGATGCATACTGTGATGTCAGACACAAGTTAATTAAATAGCCTCAGATGGCTCTCACCATGTTTCATTTGAGGAGCAACCATTCAGAGTGTTACAGGCACCGTAAAGAGCGCTTGATTCATAAGGTTGTCTCCAAGATTTACTGAGAGAGATAATACAAGGATGTGCCCCTTCAAGGAGCAGTGTCAGAATTTAAAATGGTAGGAACTGGGAGATACCTTTACATCAGTACATAGTAGTGTGTGGTCCATATAATTCCATCTAATCCTCAGCTTCATGTTCTTACCACCAGTATCTCTTTAAGACAGCCCCTCTAAAGCTGTTCCTTTGAGATGCATCTCTGATGTCCACGGGAAGTAAAAGGAACTGACCCAGGATGCAGTCCAGGTAGGAGACTCCAGGGCTCACAGAGATGAAGCTGATGGGGGAGGATTTGTACCTCTCAGCTTCTGCTCCCTCAAGACAGGCAGGATTGGTTATTTCACGGTAGAGAAGATATTTTAGGAGTTCTCAGAGGTTCAGAGAGTTATGATATGGTAACAGGGTGGACAGAGATGAACTTAACATATCTCAGTTTCTCAGCATCTCTAGACTAGGCTACACCTGATCAGTTGACCCAGAGGGGTCAAAGAAACAAAAACTAAATAACACAGAAATCACCAATAGCATTGTTCATAGGCTCTAAACCAAGCTTCAACTTTACTCATACAGTCTGACTAGCCAAGGGGCTGCAGAAGTAATTTAAGTATCTGTACCAGAGCTTGCTCTCCTGTGAAGCTGAGGACTCTCTCACCAACCCAGGAACCTGAAGGATAACAAAGACATGGCCCATTTACAGCAGAGCTATTTAAGTAGGCCACACTGGAAGGTATCTAAAGCCATTCTTATCTGTGGCTCCCGATATAGACTCTTTGAGCCCAATGCCAATCTTCACGCCTGGATTCTATGTGGCCTGGTCACTTAGGCTGTGAAAGACAGACAACAGACCTAAATCAGTGACCACTTCTATTCCAATCTGATGAGATTGGGGGTGGGACAAAGGTTGATGGAGTTTGATAAACAGCTAACTTCTGAGACAAAGGGAACATAAACAGAAGTTAGCATAAGCTTAGACGGAAGACCCATCTCAGATGGACAAGGAAATATCTTAACTATTAACACACTGGTGCCAAATGGAACTTGGTGGAAGGAAGTAATTTATCCAGTAGTGATGCCGAGTAAGGGCTCCAAGCAGCGGGTTAATTAGGGATGGGTAGCATAGGTAGGATGTGGAACAGCTAAAGCATCTGGAGGTTGAGCATGATTTTATAATAAAAGACCACTGTATGACTACACTGAACTCTCTCAAGGGTAACTGGGATATTACCATTCATTTATGCTATAGGCTCATCATCTCTAAATATTTATGACTG